GACTCACGCCCATTATCATTCCTAAATGTGCGCATCAGCACATTTGATATGTGTGAAAGTTACGTGCAAGTGAATATGGTGTGCACGCGTGATGTGATATACGGGCAACTAGTATAATAAACTCGTGTACGTATTAAGCACTATTATTTTAATATTTGTATGTTTGTACTTTGATTCTTAGTCATAAGTTGGGTGAAGAATAATGTTGTGTTTGATTATCTCGAGTCTTGGATTAACAAAAGGGTTTAATTATTTGCAACTGATTTAAGACTAAGCTAGATCGCTTGTATATCAGGAGTGTGTTGAAATAAAATCATATCTAAAAATGAATTAATTGTATTTAAATAATTACAAAAAGTCTATAGTTAGACATAAAAATTATAACCCTTTAGATAAGAATATAATAAAATATTTATTAAAAAGCAATTTAATTTGCAGAAAAGAACCCAAAAGTCTGTCTCTCCAGTGGAGATTAAACTGATATACATGATTATTCATAATGAAAAAATAAAAGGAAAGGAGAAATGTTTTGTGGTACATTTGATGTACCCATTAGGAATGGAGGATGACTTTATTTAGTGTAATGCATCATAGAAATTTGTAATGTTGTTTATATGTACCTTTAGTGACTTTTTTCTCCTCATGGAAATATTATATTGGGGGTTATGTGCGATCACCAAACATTAAAAATGAGAAACTTTAGTGTTGATCACTTTATGTTAAAAATGTCTTATCTTAGTCGTTAAGGTTTTGTTTTAGCAATATTGATTCGAACTTTTGAAATCGTTTCATTTAAATCACTCTTCGCGTATCTATTAATAAATATAATGGTTTTGCTAAGGTACGCAACGACGTCACTTGTGTAGTTGATAGGGGCCGTTTGCTCCCCCCACCCCTCAAATTAACTACTTTTAATGGTAGACAATTTGTCTAAACAAAAGTNAGTGCTACAACTACAAGTGCTTTTACTTCCAAAATATGGTGCTCTACTGGATATAGGGGTTGCCAAGAACGTTGGCTTCTCTTGGCCAGCCATGATCACAAGGTACTTCTCTTCAAGCACTGGTTGTGCTAATTTAAGGTCACCGGACACAGAGCCACCTCTGCCACCATTAGCATCACCGGCTGCGGCCTCAGGGTCTGATCTCACGTTTCGTTGGCGGTTTTCAAGGTAGTCAATGAGCTTCAAATAGGTGAATGACAGGATAAAGACAGCCAAAAAAATGAGTCCTAAGAGAGCAGCCAGTGTTCCAAGGAGGTACGTAACCGATGTGTGCCAAGATGAGTGTTGTGCAGGAGAAAGGGAAGGTGGCGCCTCCATTGACGGTGTGAATATAGTGACTATATTATTAACAAACAAAACTTTGTCTAGTGAATACTTATGTAATATATTAATATTATGCTATATTCTTGAAAGTGGAAAGGTTGTAGTACACTGGCTGGGTGGAGAAGGAGGAGGAGGAGGAGGTGGTGGTGGTGGTAAAACGATGAGAGAAAGATGGATTAAGGTTATTATTTATAAAGCAGAGCAAAATTTGTGATTAATGAGATTTTTATTTTTTATTTTTTTTAAACGAGTCTAAAAGTTTAAATTAATAGAAATTAAATATTATTTGCAGCTAATTTAAGATTAGACTAATCGACTCAATAGTTAATATAAGTTAAAATCAAGTAATTTTTAAATAAATTGATTTTTTTAAAATCTATTTTCAGAAATCTTTCCATATATATCAACTTTACAAATAAATAAATTGCGTTTAAATGATTTCTAAAACTTTTAGAGTTTTACAAACATAAAGATAATCTTATAGATAAGGGCATAATAAAATATTAATTTAATTTAATAGAAAGAATACAGATGTTGTCTCTCAAGGAAATCCTAATTAACAATTAAAAGGAAAGGGAAAGTCATTAAGTTGTATTCACTCTATCAATAATCGAACCGGATCTAATGTAATATAAGGGATTTGTCTTTTTCTATTGATTCCTACGGATTTGATAAAAAACAATTAATTACGTATGTCCTCGAACTTTGTAATTGTGCCACTTTAGTAAGTGAAGTTTTATTTTAGCATAATTTGCTAATGAACTTTCGAAGTTGCTAAAAAATTAAACACTTCTGTCTATTTATCTCACTGCGTTGCTTATGAAGTTGATGGTCTTGATGAGACGACATTAATTGGCTTACCACAAGATCCATTCCACATGCGATTTTGAATTAACAAAACTTGCTCATTTAAAAGTTGTTTCGAGGAACACGAGTTCCATTATAATAGGTCGATTTGTTATGAAATATGGAAATTTAAGTTCTACGTGATGCTTTCCATGATTTGAATTGTAATTATCTTTTAGGGTTAATAATCACTTAAACAAATTAATAGAAATTCCAGCATGGCTGAAAAAATCGGTCTTAAGTCTCACCTTTTATGATTGAAATAATAGTTTGTGATACTTTCCATAATTTTCTAATAAATATAAACCCCTCTAAATATGTTTCATTTTGTAATGTACAAATAGAAAAGTTATTTAAATTCTCTTATCGTTTGTAACATCTTAATTTATTTATTTTATTTCAAACTATTTATTAAACAAGAAAAAAATAATTATATTTCAATAAAAGAAGGTGAGAAATGTTGAAGCATAGTCACCCGCGCTCGTGATGTGGAAGACAGATAAGGTTTCTTGTCTCCAATGGCTCCCACGCAACACATTGCCAGTTGGTCCAAAACACAATTATTTATAATTTCAATCCCTAAAGATACGTCCAAATTATGACATTAATCATTAAAAATATTTTCACAGTACACTATTTGGTTGCATTCTAAAATCCAATCATTAATTAACAGATTAATCGAAACGAATCCCACTCGTGAATTGATTGAGTAAAATTGATGAAGGATTCAATATAGAGTTTGACAAAAATTATAGATGAGAGTGATATAGGATATGAAAAAAAATTCATGATATGGGTCCGAGATGACACATTTCTCGTTCGATTTTTAAATTTTAACATTCGAGAATAATTTAGGGATATGTTTTGAGCAAGTAGTCCACGTATCGTTACATCTTTATTAAAAAGTATTAAAATAAAAATATAATATATGAACTAAGAATAATTAAAAATTAACTTATCCATGTTTTATTTTCTAAAACAATCATGTATATTTATGCATGTGTCATGTCGTATCGTTATAAGTAAACTTGAAAACGAAGTATTTTTCACGCTTCACGTTTATTACTTTCAAAACACTTAATCGTATTTTTAATGACTAGGTCAATAGAATATGTCCTAAAGTCAATTTATGTGTAAAGTTGTACCAAACCCAAAAAAATTCTCTAATCTTACATCGTCTACTACAGTTGGTGTCATTCAATTGGCACCAATTAAATATTCAATATGCTACATGTATATATATTATCTTTTACATTGTATCATATGGCAAAACATCATTTAAGGCCAATGAAAGAGGGTTGCGAAAATGACTTTTGCAACTAGAAAATCTAAGTCATTCTTAACAAAGTTGATTTTTTAAGATAAATTTCAGGTCTTAATATAGTATCAGAGTTCATTAAACTTTAACGAGCAATTCAATCCAATTAAAATTTATAATTGAGCATGCAAATTTCAAAATTAGTTTGCTGAAACGAACCCTCATCTTACTGGACATGTTAAGGGATAACATCGAATAAAGATGGAAATATAAACCAATATATAAGGTTTGGGTTACTCCTTTGAACAAGATTAATCTTTTGAGATGGAACCCAAACCATAATACAATTGACTAATTTAAAATATCTTCCAAGAAAAAACAATTCCAAAATTTTGCATTAAACACACAATAAGTTATAAAGCTTTAACCTTCAAAATACATGTTCATATATATATTGTACTTGTAGTTTGGGTAACAAGAAGAAGACTTGTTCAGTCTCTTCTTATGGTCGTGCACATAAAAAGAGATTTTTATAATACTTGTATAATGGAAAGGTCACGCGACCTTAGGACAAAATCTACAACACGACTTTTCAAAACATCAATTTTTCTTAACTTCTAATTTTCTTATTTTTATTTGTTATTAATGTACTCAAATCAGAAATTTACCATCTAAATTATGAAATCTATACACGATCATGTTTTTCCTAACTATAATAAATATNCTGAGGTTGCAAGCCCAACAGTGTCCATCCTTTGCCAACTTGCATGTACATCATCTTTTACATTATATTATTTGGCAAAACATCATTTGACAATTTAAAAAAAAAGGTTTTCACGCCCACAATTTTCAAAACACAAAGGCAATGTCAAAATTAATATAAAGAAATGAGTGGACATTTAACATTATTGTCAAATATTAGAGGCACTTAGAGTTGGAGATTGATTGAGCGCTTAACCCACCCCATGTTTAAGGCCACTGGAAGAGAGTTGCGAAAATGACTTCTGCAACTAGGAGATCTAAGTCCTTCTTAACAAAGTTGACTTTTTAAGATAAATTCAAATCTTAATATAGTATTAGAGCTTATTAAAATTCGATCCGATTAAGATTTAAAATTGAGAATACAGATTTCAAGATTAGGTTGTTCAAACAAATCCTCAAATCTTACTAGACATGTTAAGGGATAAAATCGAATAAAGATGAAAATATAAATAAACTTATAAAGTTTGGGTTACTCTTTTTAACAAGATTAATCTTTTGAAATGGAATCCCAAATCATAATACATTTGACTAATTTAAAATATGTTCCAAGAAAAAACAATTCCAAAATTTTGCATTAAACACACAATAATTTATAAGACTTTAACATTCAAAATACATGTTTATATTTTATAATGTACTTGTAGTTTGGGCAACAAGAAGAAGACTTGTTCAGTCTCTTCTTATGGTCGTGCACATAAAAAGAGATGTTGATAATACTTGTATAATGGAAAGGTGACACGACCTTAGAACAAAATCTACAACACGACTTTTCAAAACATCAATTTTTCTTAACTTCTAATTTTCTTATTTTTATTCGTTATTAATGTACTCAAATCAGAAATTTACCATCTAAATTATAAAATCTATACACGATCTTGTTTTTCCTAACTATAATAAATATTAGAAAGTGCAACAAATAAATAAATAATAATTAGCCGACAGACTTGCTTTATTTGTATGTCCTCTAATTTATATTTCATGTAACTTTACTCGAATTTAAATTATTTTCTTAGAGTGGGATTCCCACTACCTTGATTTTATTAGTTTCTTGAATGCTAAATTTACTAATAATTAAGTGGATTAGTCACAGTTCACTTACAAATTTTGGGAGTTGTTAATTGGTAGCATTTCTATTATAACAATAAAATATTAGTAACTTTCTTAAAGTTGAAATGAATGGATAGGATCGATATTTTCACAAATAAAGTTGAAACAAATGGTTAAGATTGTTATTTTCACAAATATACAATTTTTCTACTACATGTTCTTTCACGAGCGAAAGACATTCATTCTTCAAAAAATTATAACTCGTATACATTTATATAAATGGAAAGCAACGAGATTTAATATATACATTTAACCAGCTTTTTTAAAAATTCACAATGTTAGAGATGTAAACAAATTAATAGATTAAATTCTGGTGACACAAAAATACAGATTGAATCATTTTTTTGATTAAACACTTGATAGATAAAATTTATAATAATTAGTGCCATTGAGTCTTGATGTTAAAAAATAAGTTTATTTATTTAAATTTTAAAAGTAATAGTTTGAAACAGTACAACAGGAAATATTAAGGAAAGAACAAATCCATCGTGTAGGATATTTTGTGCTTAGGAATCCTATTAATCAATCTTATCTCAATGAAAGCGCTTTCAAGATACAATCATACAACAATCAGTGTTAGATAATGAAAATTAACTGTGACACATTTTAACTTAATTGGTGAATGTCGACAGACATCAGTAGACAGTAATATTGAAGAAAATAATTAAAATTTTATTTATTGTATTGTTCGATCATGTTCAAGCATATGCAATAAAGAAACTCTTACGTGTACCTCTCGAGAGAGAAGAAAACAAAAATTAAAAAATTACGCATAATTTGCACCTAATCGATAAGCATGTCATAAGATAATACAAGGCAATAGTAACTGATTACCAATTACTAATCCCTCAAACTCGACAAGTAACATATAATACTCTTCGATCAGCATTATATATGATACGAAATTTGTTATTATATCCTACTATTATGTGTGTGTGTGTATATATATATATGATAAAAAGAAGAAGAAAGAAATTATTATATAATGTTTAGATTTTTATTTTTTTTTTAGCGTTCAATA